ACTGCTCTTGAGAGAACAACTCTGACAGAACTACGGCTTGTGCAAGGTCATCCAGCAGCTGCAAGTGGAGGAGTGGGGAATCAAACCTGGGTCTCCCAGATTAGAGTCCGTGCACTTAACCACTGCACCAAACTGGCTCTCTACTTAGGCTTTTGGCCTACCAAGGTCAAGTCTCGTCTACTCTGGCAGCTGCTCTCTAGGGTCTCAGGCTAGGGTTGCCATCCCCCTGGTCACCGCAGGGGTCCCCCTGATTTTGTGGGCCCCAATCCACCGCCGGCCAGCAGGGAAGCACCCCCCCCCGCAAAAAGCCCCCTTCTGCGGCGCCGGCACAATGACATCACCCGGAAGTGACATCATCATATTGCTGACGTTGGGGTGCGACGCTCTAGGTTTTGGGGGCAAACTCTATGGGGTTTTTGCCCAAATCCTAGAGCGTCGCCCCCAGAAGATATCCTGACTGTACCCAGGAGACACCACCCCCACCGGCAGCCGGATAGGACCTGGCCAACCCTATCTCAGGCAAAGGTCTTTCATACCACTTTGTCATCCAATCCTTTTCAATGGCGATAACAGGGGCTGAACTAGAGAACTAGAGCGCCAAGCAGGTAGTCTACCACTGATGTGATCCTGGCACTGGTACTTGGAGATTGACAGCCTCTGAACATGGAGGTTCATTTTAATCACCCCGGCTAGTAGCAACTGATAGCCCTGTCCTCCTGTTTCATTCCATATTAACGGTCAACACGGTAGCCTCCAGAACTATGAATTAGAGACAGCATGTACAACAACATTTAGAGTGTATGATGATGCTCTGGGAGACCTGGGTTCAAGTCCTCACGCTACCATGAAACATGCTAGGTAACCTTGGGCTAATTATTCTCTCTTAAAATACTCTAAATGTTTCCCTTGCTCAAAAGCCAGTCGAATCCGACTCTAGGGGGCAGTGGTCCTCTCCATTTCCAAGCTGAAGAGCCAGTGCTGTCCAAAGAATTCTCTGTGGTCACGTGGCCAGCATGACTAAATGCCGAGGCGCATGGAACGCTGTTACCTTCCCGCCCAAGCGGTACCTATTTATCTACTTGCAATTTCTTGCTTTCAAACTGCTAGGTTGGCAGGAGCTGGGGCCAGAGGTGGGAGCTCACTCTGTCACACGGCAATAGGGTCTCGAACTGCCGAGCTACCGACCTTCTTCCTCACCAGTAAAACAGAGGAAGAGAGACCCAATGTATACTGCCAAAGCACAAGTTAACAATGTAATAGAGAGGTGGGTGATCTTAATTTGCACTTCTGTGCCCATTCAACCTTTGTTTGTTTCAACAACTAAAATTTCTTGTGGTCAGAAGTGGGGGGGGGGTTGAAATCCCATCTGAAGACACAAGCCCTGCCCTTCTGGGCAAATGCATCTAATTAAACAAAGTGTGTCCACTAGATTATGTGAAGCCCAGAAAAAAAAACCCAGAAAAATTCTGGAAAACTATAATATTTCAATTTTTTAGATTAAGATGGGAAGCCGCGTTTGTCTGTCTGTAGCAGTAGAAAAGAGCAAAAGTCCAGTAGCACCGGAAAAACTAACCAAATCTGTTGGTAGGGTATGAGTTTTGTGAGTCAGTGCTCACTTCTTCAGATAGAGCTAGAATGTGAGTCCATCAGTCCTATATATTGGAAAGGGGAGGGATTTCAGATAGCAAATGACATTAGCAGGCGAATGACAATAGCAGGTGTGACTGGACTAGGTGTGATATGCAGAGGGGTGGTAAGTGTGGAGAAACCAGCATTGGTAATGAGACAGGAAACCCAGGACTCATTCCATCCGCATTGTCTTGGGCTTCACCATCATTTGCAATTCAGCACTTTCTCTTTCTAATCTCCCTCTGAAATTCCTTTGTAAGAGAACTGCTACTTTAGGTCAGCAACTGAATGGTCTGGAAGGTTAAAAAGTCTCTCCCCCCCCCCTGCTGGTTTTTAAACGTTGTGGTTTTTGAGGCCAGACTTCTGCCCATTAATTCTTTGTGGAAGGGACTGGCCTGTTTGTCCAGTGCAGAGGGTGGAAGGGCACTGCTGACACGCAGGAGTAGGGCCCTGAGATGGCTGATGTTGCTGGGTCCACAAATTTTGTTAAGCCTTGAAGGTGCTCCTGGACTCTTGCTCTTTTCTATGGACTCAAATCTAGCTGTGTATCCATTATTTTAATTACCACAGGATTTGTCTTCTGCCCTCAACTTCCTATTTTCCCCCTACCTATCAGCTGTCAAAAAGTAATTACAGGGTGAAACAACCTGCAATTTCTTCTTAAGTAGTAGGAATCCTATGAATTGCTCTCATAGGAAACGAAGATATTTCTATTTCTAAGTTCCAGAAATACACTAAATAATTCAATTTTATATGGTAACCAAGTTACGAATTATGGAGGCTATGCTGTTTAAAGCAGTAAAAAGAAGTTTAAATTTGGTATATATATTCAGGTCCGTCACCACCCACATTTCGGGCCTCCCCCCAGAAATAATCCAGGAAAAAGATGGGTCCCCCCTCCCACGGATTCCGAATTTCTGGGAAGTGAACATTTTTGGCTTTTACATACTGCCAGGCTGGTTTTTATTAACCGGGGCCGGGTGGGCGGCTTGAGGTTATTTCAAACATCGCAACTTCGCCAGA